CGGCTAGATGATTGCAGAGGGATGCCCCTCAAGTGCACACAGAACATCCCTGGGGTTTCTGCACTCAGCCAGCTGTTGGCACTCAGCTTGTCCAAGGACCCTGCAGGTGCTGTGGGACAGGGCTGTTGCAAGGCCAGGACACGGCCTTTGTGCCTGCCCTGGGTTCTTAACTATAAAGTAAGGAGGCAGCTTCCTAGGCTTCCACACTCCTTCCACAAGCCTGGCCAATTTCTGCTGCTTCCTTTGATCCTCCACTCACTTGCCTTGGAAATGGACCCCAACTGCTCCTGCACCACCGGTAAGGGACTTTGGGGGACACGCTGTCATTTCTGGCTGAAGTGGGCTCCTTACTCTACATCACTACTTCTTTCTCCCTGGCCAAGCAGCTTTACAGCCCTTTCCAATTTCCCAACCTCCCATCCCTCCCTCTCACTTCAAGCCAGGGGACAGGGGCTCTAGTCTGTCCTGTCTGTTACCATCTGCCTACAGCCACATGCCTGGGGCACCACACTTTCTCAACGGGGGTGGGGGGTGGTAAAACACCTGAGCCTGCTCCGTGGTTCCCAGCAGAGGGTAGAGAGATGGGGTGCACATTGTGTCTTCCACCTGGGACAGGAGGAGCCTGTGCTGGGCCTGCAGAGTGCTAGGTACAGGCATTAGGGACCCTCCCTGTGTCCTGCCCATGTCTACAGCTCACTGCTGTCCTTCTCCTCCACACAGGCACCTCCTGCACCTGCTCCAGCTCCTGCAACTGCTAGGACTGCCAGTGCACCTCCTGCAAGAAGAGTGAGTGGGGCCTGGTAGCATCAGGGGCTGCTGCTGAGCTAGGGAGGGAAGACAAGGCTGGCGCTGAGCGCAGGACTCTGGGGAATTGGGTGTCCTCTGTTCCCTGGAGATCATTCTGGCCCTCTCCAGGCTTTCTGCACTGTCCTGAGCTCCCAGGGTCAGGCATCCATTCTCTCTTGAGACACAGAGCCCAGTTCCCATCTGTTGTCTCAGAACAGAGCTGTGCTGTTCTTTTTTTTAAAAATATTTCATTTATTATTATTTTTTTATGTGTATGAGTATTGTCTGCATGTAGGTAAGTGCACCCTTGTGGCGCAATGCCTGTGGAGGACAGAAGAGGCCATCAGATCCCCTGGAACTGGCTTTACAGACAGTTGTTAGCTGCCATGTGGGTGCTGGGATTCAAACCCGGGTCTTCTGCAAGAACAACCAGTGTTAAGAGCCATCTCTCCAGCCCCCATGTGCTGTTCTTTCTAATGCTTCCACACACAAACAATGTGATGCAGGCATGTAATCCAAGATTGTGTGTGGTGGAGAGAGGAGAATCAGGACCTCAATCAAATCTAGTCAAGACTGCAGGAGACCCTATCTATTTATAAAGAAACAAACCCTTAATGTGAGGGGCAGAGTTCCTACCAGGCCTCCAGAGGGGTAAACCTTGTCTGTCCCCTCCTCCCTTCCTTCCCAGGCTGCTGCTCCTGCTGCCCAGCCAGCTGCTCCACGTGTGCCCAGGGCTGTGTCTGCAAAGGGGCATCTGACAAGTGCACCCACTCTGCCTGATGTGAGGACAGTCTGCTCACATGTGTAAATACAGTGGCATGAACAAGCCTGGATTACATACATCTTTCATGTATAAACTAAGTTCCTTTTCTACAAACCATGTGAATGATAATAAAAGTTGATGACTCGATTCTGACTCTGGTTTTCTTTGCTTTTCTTGGATACATGGGAGTGGGGGAAGGGAATGAACAGCAATGCAGAGACCTGGGCTGAGACTCAAATGTTGTACACCTCCCCCAAGAAAACCACAGGCAAGCCACATTGAGCTACTCTGTAGTACAACAGAAAAGCCAGTACCTGAGCTCCTGGTATGTGTATGGAGAGGGGGTGCCATGTTCTGTGCATCCTCATGGAATGTGTTAATAGTGCAGAAAGCTCAATCCTTTATATTTATTCTCTGAGTCAACTACAGTTCAGCCTGAGGGCTTACACTTGAAGGTGATGGGGGTGGGGAGTATTTCTAATTCCCTAATTTTTCCAGTGCTCTCTGTGACTTCTCAGTCTCCACATGGAAAGAAACTTTAACGTTTTATTCATTTCATTATTTTTTTCAACTCTAAACGTTGGTAAGGGAAATGATATTAGTTGTAGAGAGAATGAAATCAAGAGAAATTGCAGGTGAACCAGCAGGGGGCGTGTTAGAGCCTGGAGAGGCACTGCTAGCTTTCTAGGTATTCAGAGGTTTGCTGGGCCCTGTGGGTCCTGACTCTACCTTGTACAGGGCAGAGAGCTCAAGGTGACACAGTGGGGCCCTCCCCTTTTGGGTGGTTTGCCCTGGGGCAGGACCTATGCACTTGGCCCCACATGGCCTCAGTACCTCCTTCACACCTATTTGCAGTTCCCGTGAGTAAGTTAGATTCAACAGGAAAATTCCAATAAACATATCAAATAGAGAAAGATGTATACACATTCTCCATCCCTCTGTTTAAGAACATGTCTTGCTATGTAGCCAGAGTGGCCTCAAATTCCTGTTAATAATCCTGCCCCAACCTTCCCAGTGCTGATTTACAGTCATGTGCCACCAGGAGATGATCAATAGTCATCGAGAGTGGACACAGAAAATGTGTGGATTGTCCCCAGTGTGGGGGACTTAACAGGACTCTGGATCACCCAAGAGGCCTCCAGATTATGACAAGGCTCTGGATCTCTGCAAGTCCCTTGCCAGATGAGGATGAATTTGCTTTCAGATTCTAGTCCTTTGCCATTTCATACTGTATATTCAGAGATTTGGAGGAAGTTGCTCAGGACTTTCCTGTTGGCGGAAGTTGTTCCCTTCAGAGGAAGTGCTTCATGTCAAGGAGTCCTAGAGTATGGTGGGCCTGCAAGCTGACTTAAGTCCAGGATAGTTTTTTTGTTTGTTTGTTTTTGTCTTTTTGTGACAGGGTCTCCCTGCAGCCCCAGCTGGCCTGGAACTCACTATGTAGACCAGGCAGGTCTTGAGCTCACAGAGATCTACCTGCCTCTGCGTCCCAAGTGCTGGGACTACAGGCATGCACCACCACACCCGGCTAAGTCCAGGATAGTTTGACACCTCTACAACATACACCTGTGGGTCTAGGACCCTCCAGTCTTAACGATGAAAAGACAGTGGAGCAGAGCTTCATATCAGCCAACTCTATGCAAAATGGAAACAGGATCAAAGATTGGGAGTAGGTGGATGTGTGGGACAGGCAGACAGTGCAGTGGGACACAGTGGTGACATCAGAAACCAGTCCTCTGAACATGATTATTCACCACAGCTTAGCAATTATTCAGGAGCTGGACTCCAGGCCTGGGGAACGTGACATCCATGGGGCTAGGAACAAGGGAGCGGGGGAAGGGAGAAACAGTCAGGATTGGGTCCTGGAATGCTGGTGGGGGCTGGGTGCTGAAAGCCTTCTAAAACTGGAAAGGACCTACGAGGTGTCAGGGAGGCCTTGTCACCTTGCAAGGTATCTGGAAGCACAGTTCCAGTTCCAGCAGGATCAGGAGCAGAAGGGGAGGTCTCCAAGGGGAGCAGAAGGGGAGTGAAGTTCTGCACTCAGCTCTGTGTGCTCTCAGCCCTGCACAGGGCTGGGGGAGGATCTGTCTACTCAGGTCACTTGGGAGGGAAAGGGCCAGGTGCAGCAGCCCCACCTAGCTACAAGGAATGCCTGATGTGCTGTCCAGGCTCTATCACCTGGGGCCATTCATCTGCACTTGATTCTTTCCTTGTGACTCCAGTTTCACCAGGTCTGGAAATGTATTCCTAATACTCATGAGCCCCTAGTAGTTCATACCTGGCATGGGCCCGGGTATGTCTACCTTGCAGTCACAACAGAGAAAGCCTAGAAGTGAGGATGCCACATCTCGGGTATTGGGCTGAGTACCTTCTTCTCTGTGTACACTTTTTTTTTCTGGTTGAGCTCTAGAGGTATGTCTACTTTCCCCGTCCCTGCCTGTCACAGTGCATGGACTATCAGGCTGCCCACATCACCCAGCATTGAATGCTTTGAGCAGAAGAGCTAGGTGACTATTAGAGTCCATCCTTGGGTCCTGGCCTCAGCTGCTGTCATCACTGGCTGCTCTGTTGACTGGGACTTTCTTTTGGGGGTGACACAGAAGATCACTTGCCATTCTGAAGTCAGAGGACAGAAGGGCAGGCATCTCTCTGTCCTCTCTGAATGGGGCAGTTTTCAGAACTCGCCCCGCTCAGATGAGGAGCTCTGGGAAGTTAACAATCGTGTGCTGCTTCTTCTGTCTCCGTTCTCAGCTCACTGCTGCCCTCTTCACAGGTGACTCTTGCAGGGGTAGAGCATGCAGGTGTCCCTCCTTCAGGAAGCAGCAGTAGGGTCTTGCCGGGGAAACTCAGGGGTGAACAGGAGGCAGGAGCAGACAGTGACCAGCTTCCTGCAGTCACTCCCCTCCATCTCACCCAGCAGTAGAGTAGGGAGAACGTCACACATGGCTGATACCTAGCCTTCGTCCTGTAATGGAAACCTGAGGACAGAGAGTGCACAGGAGCCAAGCACAGACCTGAATCCTCTGAAGAGTGCACAGCTGTGGGGTCTGGATATCTGTACCTGAGCATGAGGCTGGAGTTGCACAGGTCCTTCCAGGAAAGGCAAAACTAAGAGGAATCTGGCAGAGAAGGGGTTCAGAAAAGGCCTAGGTAGTGGTTTTGAAAGCCGGGGGGGGGGGCGGGATCCTGCAATTTCCAGAAAACTGGGGAGTTCTGCAATTTCTAGAAAACTGGAAAGGGGCTGCAGGCTTTGCCAGGTAGTGGGGCTGTGTGCATAGGCCACCCTGGTTGGCTGGGGGATGTCCCCCAGTGGACACAGAACATCCCTGGGTTTCTGCACTCAGCCAGGTGTTTGCACTCAGCTTGTCCAGGGTCCCCTGCAGGTCTGTGGGACAGGGCAATTTCAGGGCCAGGGAGTGGCCTTTGCACCCAGACTGAGTCCTCAACTATAAATTGAACAGTTGGGTTGCTAGGCTTCCCTACTCCTTCGAGAAGCCTGGCTGATTTCTGCTGCTTCTTTTGGACCTTGACTCACTTGCCTTGGAAATGGACCCCAACTGCTCCTGTGCCACTGGTAAGGGACATCAGAGGGCACACTCATTTCTAGCTGAAGTGGGCTCCTCACTCTACAACACTAGTTCTTTCCCCCTGATCAGGCAGTATCACCAGCCTTTCCAACTTCCCAACCTCATCCTCCTTCTCTGTCTCAAGATTCTCACTTCAAGCCAGGGGCAAGGGACTCTACTCTGTTCCCACCTCCCACATGTCTGGGGCACCACACTGTTTCAACTAGGGTGAAACTCCTGAGCCTGCTCTGTGCTTCCCAGCAGAGGGTAAAGAGGTGGTGGGCACATTGTGTCTTCCACCTGAGACAGGGGGAGCCAGTGCTGGGCCTGCAGAGTGCTAGGTACAGGCATTAGGGACCCTGCCTGTGCCTGCAGTTCACTGCTGTCCTCCTCCACACAGGCACCTCCTGCACGTGCTCCAGCTCCTGCAGCTGCCAGGACTGCAAGTGCACTTCCTGCAAGAAGAGTGAGTGGGGCCTGGTAGACACATCTGGGGCTGCTGCCGAGCTAGGGAGGGAAGCCAAGGCTGGCACTGAGTCCAGGACTCTGGGGAACTGAGTGTCCTCTGTTCCCTGGAGACCATTCTGGCCCTCTCCAGGCTTTCTGCACTGTCTTGAGCTCCCAGGATCAGGCATCCATTCTCTCTTGGGACACAGACCCCAGTTCACATGTGTTGTCTCAGAACAGAGCTGTGCTATTCTTTCAAATGTGTCCACACACAAGGTGATGCAGGCATGTACTCCTAGAATGTTGGGGGTGGGGGCTAAACTCTAGCTGGTTAGGCATGGAGACCCTGTATATTTATAAAGAAACAAACCCTTAGTGTGAGGGGCAGAGTTCCTGCCAGGCCTCCAGAGAGGTAAACCTTGTCTGTCCCCTCCTCCCTTCCTTCCCAGGCTGCTGCTCCTGCTGCCCAGTCGGCTGCTCCAAGTGTGCCCAGGGCTGTGTCTGTAAAGGGGCATCTGACACCTGCACCTGCTGTGCCCAATGTGGGGACAGTGCTGCTCCCATGTGTAAACACAGTGACACTTGTACAAACCCAGATTTGTTTTTCATACAACTCTGACCTATTTTCTAGTTCCTTTTCCTATAAAACGTGAATGATAATAAAAGTCAATGACTTGATTCTAACTCTGGTTTTCTTTGTGTGCCTTGGACATAAGGGAGTGGGGTGAGGGACTAAGTAGCATTGCAGGGACCTGGGCTGAGACTTAAATATTATATACTTCCCCCAAACATAAAACATAGGCAAGCCACACTGAGCTTCCTCTATCGTACAATAGAAAAGCAGGTACCAGAGCTTCTGGTGTGTGTGGGGGGAGGGAGGCTACCATGTTCTGTGCACCCTCGTGGAACATGTTTATAGTCCAGAAACCACAATCCTTTATTTTTATTCTCTGATTCAGCCTGAGGGTTTAAACTTGAAGGTGACTGGGGTAGGAGGGGTGGTTCTCCAGTTCTCCAATTTTTCCATTGCTCCCTGTGGCTTCTCAATCTCCATGTGGAAAGCAATTTCCCAACCTCCCATCCCTCCCTCTCACTTCAAGCCAGGGGACAGGGGCTCTAGTCTGTCCTGTCTGTTACCATCTGCCTACAGCCACATGCCTGGGGCACCACACTTTCTCAACGGGGGTGGGGGGTGGTAAAACACCTGAGCCTGCTCCGTGGTTCCCAGCAGAGGGTAGAGAGATGGGGTGCACATTGTGTCTTCCACCTGGGACAGGAGGAGCCTGGGTTGGGCCTGCAGAGTGCTAGGTACAGGCATTAGGGACCCTCCCTGTGTCCTGCCCATGTCTGCAGCTCACTGCTGTCCTTCTCCTCCACACAGGCACCTCCTGCACGTGCTCCAGCTCCTGCAGCTGCCAGGACTGCAAGTGCACTTCCTGCAAGAAGAGTGAGTGGGGCCTGGTAGACACATCTGGGGCTGCTGCCGAGCTAGGGAGGGAAGCCAAGGCTGGCACTGAGTCCAGGACTCTGGGGAACTGAGTGTCCTCTGTTCCCTGGAGACCACTCTGGCCCTCTCCAGGCTTTCTGCACTGTCCTGAGCTCCCAGGGTCAGGCATCCATTCTCTTTTGGGACACAGACCCCAGTTCACATGTGTTGTCTCAGAACAGAGCTGTGCTATTCTTTCAAATGTGTCCACACACAAGGTGATGCAGGCATGTACTCCTAGAATGTTGGGGGTGGGGGCTAAACTCTAGCTGGTTAGGCATGGAGACCCTGTATATTTATAAAGAAACAAACCCTTAGTGTGAGGGGCAGAGTTCCTGCCAGGCCTCCAGAGAGGTAAACCTTGTCTGTCCCCTCCTCCCTTCCTTCCCAGGCTGCTGCTCCTGCTGCCCAGTCGGCTGCTCCAAGTGTGCCCAGGGCTGTGTCTGTAAAGGGGCATCTGACACCTGCACCTGCTGTGCCCAATGTGGGGACAGTGCTGCTCCCATGTGTAAACACAGTGACACTTGTACAAACCCAGATTTGTTTTTCATACAACTCTGACCTATTTTCTAGTTCCTTTTCCTATAAAACGTGAATGATAATAAAAGTCAATGACTTGATTCTAACTCTGGTTTTCTTTGTGTGCCTTGGACATAAGGGAGTGGGGTGAGGGACTAAGTAGCATTGCAGGGACCTGGGCTGAGACTTAAATATTATATACTTCCCCCAAACATAAAACATAGGCAAGCCACACTGAGCTTCCTCTATCGTACAATAGAAAAGCAGGTACCAGAGCTTCTGGTGTGTGTGGGGGGAGGGAGGCTACCATGTTCTGTGCACCCTCGTGGAACATGTTTATAGTCCAGAAACCACAATCCTTTATTTTTATTCTCTGATTCAGCCTGAGGGTTTAAACTTGAAGGTGACTGGGGTAGGAGGGGTGGTTCTCCAGTTCTCCAATTTTTCCATTGCTCCCTGTGGCTTCTCAATCTCCATGTGGAAAGAAGCTTTTATTTTTCATCCATTTCATTTTTTTTTTTTTCCAGATCTGAGCCTTGGTAAGGGAAATATTAATTAGGAAATCAAGAGAAGTTGCAAGTGAACCAGCAGGGGGCGTGTTAGAGCCTCGAGAGGCATTGCTAGCTTTCCAGGTAAACAGAGGTTTGCTCCGCCCTGTTGCTGGCCCTGCCCGAGACCCCGGAGCGCAGGAGAGCTGCGTGCCGAACCTCTCTGCACACCGCGGGATCCTCCCGTTTGGCACCTTCTGTAGGGGCTGTTCACCTGCCTCGGGGAGTTTCCCTCCCTCCTGCTGGCTTGTTTGCTGTTCCTGTAAGACAATTCATTGTTTTAGGTTCCGCAATAAAATTCCAATAAACATGTCGAGAAATTAAAGATTTATGTATTACCCCCTAAAAGGTCTTGCTATGTAGCCAGAGTGCCCTCAGATTCCCATAAATAATACTGCTTCAGCCTCCTCAGTGATGATTTACAGGCACGTGCCACCGTGGGGGATATTCATTGAGTGTATGCATTGAGCACATGTGTGGATTGTCCCCAGTGTGGGGGCCACAGCTGTGAGTAGCGCCAGCTCAGACACCCCCACAAGGAGCCAGCAGTGTTCAGGACTCCGGAAGGACTCTGGATCCCCCAGGAGGCCTCCAGGTTGTGACTAGACTGAATACTTGCAAGTTCCTTGCCAGGTGAATGTAGATTCTGCCTTGACTGTTTCCAGTCCGACTGTTGGAGATTGGAGGAAATTGCTCAGTTGGAGGTTACGTAGGTCATTCCCTTCACAGTGCTTCATACCAACATGTCCTGGAGTGGGGTGGGCCAGCTAGTCCCAGGCAGGTCTGAGACCGTTTAAGACCTACAGCTGTGCCCATAGGTTCCTTCCAAACCCTTGGAGACTGAAGTGGAGGGGGATCCCATATCAGACTACTGTTGTGCAAAAGAGAAAAGGGGTCAAAAGTGGCATGGTGTGAGGTGGGGGAGGGTAAACAGAGTGTGGGGTGAGGGGGGGACGATGGTGACATCAGCGGACGGTCCTATGCACACAGCTCCCTCGCCGCTCGAGCATGGACTCCAAATAAAGCGTTAGTGACATCCAGTGTGCGGAGCTGGGCGGGTGAGTGCAAACTTGCAGGAACTGCAAAGGGGTGGGCAGGAGGTAGGGAGGCCGAGTGGGGCGGAGTGCATAGGTCAGCTCCAGCGCCTGCGGGCTTAGAAGGGGGAGCTCCCGCGGTGTGCACAGATTCTGCACTCAGCTCGCTGACTGCGCCCGGCTCATCCCAGGGCAGGGCCAGGACCCACAGTGCGCAGCTTTCCTCGGATTGGATGGAAAGCTAGCAGCTCTGCTCCAGTGTCCCAGGCTCTGACACGCCCCCTGGTGGTTCATCCGCACCTTTTTTTTCTATAGAACTCCCGCTACACTGGGCCTGGAAATGGATCCCAACTAGTCCTGGACTACTATTAGAAGCCTGGTATGCGCCTTAGGATGCCCAGATCCCAGCCACACAGCATGCCCGGGCATGAAGAGGTCACAACTTTGGTTCTGAGTTGAGTGGACTCTGCTTCTTCACTGCTTTCTTTCTGGCAGAGCTCCTGAGGGCATGCCCACCTTCCCTGTCACAGTTCAGGAATTGAGGCTCAGGCTGTCCTGTCCCCCAACTGGTGGAGGAGAGGAGCTGCTGGCTCTGTCCAGGGCTCTGAGCAGGACTGGGAGCCTTCAGGGTGGGAGGAGAGCAGAGGAGGTGCCACTTTAAGTTGCGGATGCCATTCTGGGCTGGCTCTGGCAATGGAATTTTCTTTATGGGATGTCACAGGAGGGCGCTTGTCCTTCCCAAAGGAAAGAACCGAAGAGAGGGCCTCTCTCCCTCCTTTCTGAGTGGGGCAGAAACTCTCAATGTTGGCCCTGCTCAGAGGAGGGGCCCTGGGGAGTTAATGACCTTGTGCTGAGTCTCCTGCCTATTTCCAACTTTCTCCTGTCTTTCTCCTTTTCACAGATGGCTCCTGTAGGTGCAGAATGCACATTCCCCTCCCAAAGGACGAGCTAGTGTGCGTATGTGTGTGTGTGTGTGTGTGTGTGTGTGTGTGTGTGTGGTGGGGGGAGCTTGCTAAGGGCAAGCGTCAGGCAGTGGTCCACTTCCCATTTCAATTCAGTCCTCTTCCCTCAGCACCTGATTAGTGATCAGAGCAGGAAGAACTCCAAGTTGGTTGATTCTTTATTCTTCAACCTGGGACACTGAGGACTAGAGAGTGGACTGGACAACACAGGCCTGAGCTGGAGGACTTCACTAAGCACATAGATCTGGGGATCTAGCTTTCATGTTCCACATGTCCTCTGTCACTGACTTCAGTCTCTGCTTTGTTCTGTACTCAGGTAGGGCTCGTTGCTTTTCTATAAGAAACCCCCCATTGTCTCCTGTTAGAGCGTGCCTCCTGAGATAAAGGTCCTGTAGGAAGAGAAGCCGTGCTCCTCCCAGGCCTGCTCACAGGGCTGTGTCTGCAGAGGGTCACTGGACTAGCAGAGCTGCTGCACCTGCTATGAAACAGCCCTTCTCCCATATGGAAATATCAGACATCTACAGACTTGTTTTTCATACAATTCTTACCTATTTGCTATTTCCTAGTTTCCTTTCTAGTTGCTGTAATAAATACCCTGACAACAGCAACTTAGGGGACTCAGCAACTTATTTCAACTCATAATTCTAAGTTACAGTCCTAAGGCAGAGGGCAGAGGGGCAGAAGCTTGAGGGGGCTGGTCACATTATATCCGTAGTCAAGAACAGAGAGCAATGTGTGTGTGCATGCTCACCAGAGCTCAGCTTACTTTCTCCTTTTTCATACAGTCCAGGACCCCACCTCAGGGGAATTCACTCTCCACTTTTAGTCTAGATCTTCTAATATCGATAAAGGTAATCAAGACAATCCTCTATCAGGCCAACCAAATCTAGACAAGCCTTCATTGAGCATCTTATCCCAAGTGAATCTAGATTGTGTCAAATTGACAACACGCTACATTCCTTTTTTAGTGAAATATGTGAAATAATAAACTGGTGGTACTTGAGGCCTAGTCTGCATTGAGAATGAGAGGCAAGCCTGCATAAAGAGCCATTTGCACAGACAACCTGGGAAG